AACAAGTAAATTCACAGGTAGAGCCTTGTAACACATACTTATCCAGTCTGAATCTCTATATTTTTCCAGCTGCACTATATTTGATTTTTTATCCCATGAAAACATTGAAGCCTTGATAAAAACACAAAGGTAACATTCACAGATTTCCCCCGGAGACAAAAGTATTGAAGCGGATATTTTTTAAAATCAATTGTTCTCTGCAATTTTCTATGGAGTTTAAAGAAATCCAATTGTGTAACATTTACAAATGTTATAATTCCACAAGGTTGTGCCTGGTAGAGGATAGTCATTTATTGTGAATAACGGTTAAGATATCGATCAACTGCCAAGCATACAATAAAACCTCTCATTTAGAGCGACTCTTCAGAATTCCCACACACGCACAGGATAATTATTGTAAAGGTCCACCAGTGGATGCACATTCTTATAAATACTATACTGAACACAGCAATTCGCTCCAACAGTGATGGGTTCATTTTTGACGGTTGAGAGAAAACACCAATCGCATCCTTCTGCATACTACTCACAAATGTGAGTAGTAACTCACAACACAAAGACATCTGGTCACATCGTTTTTCCCGTTTGACTAGAAAACTACGCGGTTCTGTGGGTTGGATATCAACCAAAGAATTCACGTCTTTGTCACATCAGATTGCAGGCGACCACTGTGAAACGAATCCAAGTACAGGGTTTTGTGATCACCATGTGAGTCAGATGATCCGCATGATGTGCGCCAAGTTTGAATTCCATGTGACCGATCCATAATTCCACTTCATTCATCAAAGATGTGACACATTGCTTGTGCAACTTGACCGCATCGCGCTCTTGAAACACTTCGCTTATTTGCATTCAACAGAACATATATTTACACAAATGTGAAGTACAAAGGAAATGCAAAACTAGGTCTGTAATTTGTACTTAGGTGCTCGTCGTTAACTGCCGTCCAACAGATTTATTCTAACAATTGATCTCATGAACCATGCAAGATGAGCATGAATCGCGTCCACTGCGGCCAGTAGTGACGAACTTCTGCACGCGTCCCTAGACTCGTAAACAACCAAGTTACCACTGATCAAACCAGAAGCCTTGTGATTGTGTTAGACGTGTATTGGGGTACCGTGGTACAAGAAATGTACCGTTACCTGCTAACGAAACGTTAAGATACAAGGATAACAAAGACCAGCGAGCGCAATAACTTGCAAACCGATCTAAAGCTAAAAGCTGAAAGTCCTCGCGTGGAAGGATTCGGTAGTTAGCAATCGTGTCAAACAAACGTCATAGTGCGTTGGTACTGAGGTAAAAATGTGAGCATACATTTAGATTGTAGAGGAAAAATTATGTTCGGCAAAGGTTGGTTATTGCCTAAGTTTCACCGTACAATCGGTCACACTACAAACACTTTGAAAAGGTGATGGTCAAATCAAGTCATGGTTATAATTAGCTTTTATCTAGGAATCACGACTTTCCGTACAGTACGCAATAAATATATTACACTGCCTTCACTACCCGTATCTATTTTTTTCCGATAGCTTTTTTCCATTGTCCCATCGTTTTATTGCTTGGTTTGTAGTTGTCTCCGCTTCATATATGCTCCCACAGTGGATTTGGATCTGTGTCGGTGTTTGACTCTGAAATATGTGCTGCGCTGATCTCATGCAAATCAATCTCTCTATTTCTCGGCATCAGTAAACCTTTTTCAGCTAGCCACAGCTGATCATGACCTCTCCTGATGCCGCAGACCACTTTCTTTTCTCTACAAAGTGTTAGGAGCCTAGGTTTAAAGTCGCCACAATACTTTCTAACTGCTGAGTTCCAGGGAAGATCAGGACACCAGCTTTTTGCGCCGATTTCGGTCAGTCAATTTCAAGAGGAACAAAACCTTTGACCGTAAAATTGGATTTGTTTGCTACATTTTCAGATGTAGTTGAGTAAAAGATAAGAACACATACAAGGGAGATGCAAGTATAAGATCACCATTACAATATGTCTGGTTCCTAACATATCATGAAGTAGTCAGATGGAATAATGGTGTCGTTGATTTTATGTTCAAGTTACTTGAATTAAATTGTAGCACCCTTTGAATCCATGCAAAGCTCCTTGCGTTTCGATTTCATATACATATATATCACCAGTTTGCGGACAATTATGTTATCAGCGCAACATTAATAATAACAAAAGATGGGGGAATCGCCTGTACAAAACAGAGCAATATGAAGATCAAACAATTAGAGTGCATTAGGATAGCAGAACTAACATTAACGGCTTCATAGATGTGTTTGTCGTAACAAGACCCAAATAAACATCCTCAAAATCACTTGGTTTTGTCTTCGGTGTAGCCTCCAATCTTTGCGCAACCAAATGCAGTACGCTAGGCAGATGGAATCTCCATCTCAATCACTTTCAGTTAACCCCGTCTGATTCTACGCACTAGTCGACAATTGGCCCGTGACTTTTGTAAGAAGGGACAACAGATAGAAAGCTTATGGTTGATTGATAACAAAGACAGAGATGTCGGAACTTAGATACGTCGCACCCAAAGAAATGTC